ATGAAAGGTGTTCCCGGCGCGTCACATCCATCTCTCTGATGGCGGCCAAAGCCTCTGAATATGAATCCTTGGTCTTCATCATCACCTTCACCAGCTGCTGCCCGCGCTCGTCTAAGCCGACCCCTTCTTCCAAGAACAGAAACTTCCAATCGTCGGGGGCGGACAAACCGAGCGTAGCGACTTTGTCGAACGCCAGGTCGAGACGAGCGGCGTACTCTGTAAGTCCTTCGCCCTGCTTTTCCTGAACGAGAACAAACATTATCTGCCTGTTTTCCGCTTCTCGTCGTCGATGTTCTTGCCGGACAGCAAGTCAAGGCGCTCTAGGATTTGTCGGCGCCCTGCTTGGAGGTGATCAATGCATCTGGTAGTTCCTCCATCTTTCGCTGCAGCTCCAGAGGGAGGACCTTCAGGATGCGGTCCGCGTGCCTGTGGGGCGGCACATCGGTAAGCTGTCTCCAGCGGTTGAGGGTCCTGCGCCACATTTTGTATTCGTTCCAGCTCGTCCAGGGCTCTGGTCCGGAAAAGTCTTTTCCCCTATCATCCCAAGACTTGTTGTTCCAGCTGTTTTTCCAATCGTTCCATCAGTGGTCACTCCAGCTGCTCCCAAACTCTCATTTCTCCTTCTCGTTCTCGGCCGCCCTCGCCCAAGGATCTCTCTACTCTGGCCCGTCTGGCTCGGTGCGACCTCTGGTCCGTCCATCGCCACTCGTGCTCGACACTTGGACCTGGTGCTTTACCCTCCTGGCGATCTCCTCGACCTGCTGGTCAATAATAACTGTGGACGTTGGTGGCGGTGTGGGAGGTGACATTCCCGGCGGCGCTGGCCGCTGCGCCACATCGTCCAACAAGGACCTGAGCTGCTCCTCAATAGTATGGATTTGTCCGTATTCATCTGCCTATTGTCTCGCTGTCCCAATAGCCGCAGTGACCGTTCTGTGGCCTCCTGTCGATGCACTGGCTGAATAATTTGCATCCAACTTCCTCGACCCCATTTCAGTCCGTGGACGAGCCTCCTCAGAGGCTCCGCTACCACTGTTCCCCAGCCGATGGACTGGATATTCTCTCCAACGCCTTTGATCACACAAGACAGTTCCACAGCAACTATCGCCACGGCACCCAGCCAAAATGGGAGGTGTATGGAGTAGAAGTGGAGTGGGATCGAGAAGTAATGGTGGGCTTGGGATTGTGAACGAGTGGGCGAGATCCGGCTTGAGCCAAACCGGATGCGGTGGCACATGATCTCGACTCTCGCTTCAGTCCAGGGGGGCTCACTAGACTAATAAGCCAGAGGTTATTATTTCCACCAAAAAAAAAACGCCATAGACCTAAACTTTTGGCGCTCCGCGCGGATCTCTTGTATCTGCGCTGGGCCCCCCTTCCCTGGCGCGCGGAGCGCGCCAAGGGCGGTGCCGGAGGCGCCGCCGGGGGGCCCAGCGAGGATCCAAGAAATCCGCGCGGAGCGCCACAAGTTCATGTTTATGGCGCTTTTTTCTTCTTCGATCCACGTTCCTTGCCCTCCCGCTGCCTTCCGAAAGGCGCCAGTACCACCACTCCCCAGACAACTCCAGGGGCGCGTTGTGGCCAGCCTTTCGAGGAGAATCCAGCCGTGGCGACCAGGGATCTCCAGGACGAGCAGCGGTATCGGCACCTTTCCCCCCCCCTGACGTCCATCTGCAGAGGAACACACGAAACTGGCGCGACCCCTAGTAGGGGAACGCTTCATAAGCGGCGTTGCTGAGAACTGCTTGGCGCTGCATTGCTTTGCTTTGCACTGCTTGGTATAACTTGAGAATGCTTGGCATTGCTTGCCATTGCTTTGCATTGCTTGGCGTTGCTTGGCATTGCTTGGCGTTGCTTGGCGTTGCTCGGCATTGCTTGGCGTTGCTCTGCACGTCTTGGCATTGCTTGGCGGTGCTTGGCATTGCTTGGCATTACTTGGCGTTGCTGGGGATTGCGTGGCGTTGCTTGGCGTTGCTTGGCGTTGCTTGGCGTTGCTTGGCATTGTTTGGAGTTGCTTTGCACCGCTTTGATCTGCTTGGCGTTGCTTGAAGTTTCCTGGCGTTGCCTGGCATTGCTGGGAAACACAGCAAAACAAAAACAACCAGGGCGGGGAACCCGAGGAACCTCCGAGGAAGGGTAATATAAGAATACGAGGCACAGAAGGCGGGGAACCCAAGGAACCCTGGGAACCCGAGGAACCTCCGTGGAAGGGGCAACGTAAGAATACGAGGCATCGGGGGCGGGGAACCCGAGGAACCCGGGGAGCCCGAGGAACTGGGAAACGGGCAACGTAAGAATGGGAGGCACGGGGTGCGGGGAACCCGAGGAACGGGCAGAGTAGCACTCCGAGGCGCCAAGCTGCAACCGAGTAGAAACCCCTCAGGCAAGCCCAATTGGGGAAAACCGGCATCAACATCATTCCCAGAGATCCGATGTCGTGATTTTTTCAATGCGGGGTCCCCGGAAGTCCCGACCCCTTCCCCAGGGCCGGTTTTTCATCCTGAGTCGTTTTTTGACGGTCCCGGGGCCCGGCGAGGGCCGCCAGAGGCCGAAAATCGGGAAAAACCTCCGTCTTGATTTTTTCAATGCGTCGGAGGTCTGGGTTTCTCGCATGTCCGCACGGATTCCTTTGCTCGGCGCTGGACCCCCCCTCCCTGGCGCGCGGAGAGCGCGCCCGGTGCGGCGCCACAGGCGCCGCCACGGAGGTCCAGCGCCGATGGAAGAGGCGCGCGGACCTACGAGCAATTATGTGTACCCAGACCTCCGACGCATTGAAAAAATCAAGACGGAGGTTTTTCCCGATTTTCGGCCTCTGGCGGCCCTCGCCGGGCCCCGGGACCGTCAAAAAACGACTCAGGATGAAAAACCGGCCCTGGGGAAGGGGTCGGGACTTCCGGGGACCCCGCATTGAAAAAATCACGACATCGGATCTCTGGGTATGTCTTCGTTTGTGTTTGATTATTTCCCAGCACCTTCGGTGCTTGCCGCCTCCCGCCCTCAAAGAAAAACCTTGATGGTGAAGACTGCCAACTTCCCAACGGATGGGAAGGGGACCCCTCTGTGATCGTACAGGCCGAAACGAAGGAGGAGGAGGAGGAGGAGGAGGGAAGCAGATGGGGACGGAGGACCTCGCCGCACCGCCGAAGTATCGGCGACGTCGGCGATGCAGCGACGACGTCCGCGTGGAGAAGATCGGGCTCCACATCAAGCCGCATCGCCGATGAGTCGGCGATGTAGAGCGATGCTCCGACCCCATCTACGGCAGGTTTGTGTCGTGACAACCCCAGCGTTGGTTCCTGACACCGCGGGGATCGTTCAACCTTGAGCGATCGGCCGTTTCCGAAACGTCAGATCGTTCAACATTGACCAACTCTGGATCGCTGGCGGCGCTCAACGTTGAACGCTGGCGGCAAGGTCACCGCCAATCGACACGACGCGAACCTACCGTACTCGGACCCCGTAGAGAGGCATAAACGTAAACTTTCAATGGTCCACGCGGACTTCTTGGATCGGCGCTGGCCCCCCTCCCTGGCGCCGGAGCGCGCCAGGGGCGGCGCCAGAGGCGCCGCCAGGGGGGCTCCAGCGCAGATCCGATAACTCCGCGCGCACCGTCGGAAGTTTATGTTTATACATATTTTCTTTCTTCGAGTTGAAGAGGCCCAGACCCAGACGTGCGACGTTCTGTTTTTTCGATACGCGGCCCCCCCAAGTCCCGACCCTTTCCCTGGGACTAATGTTTCATCCTGAGTCGTTCTTTGACGGTCCTGGGTCCCACCAGGGGGGCCCCCAGAGACCCCAAACGGCCAAAAACCTCCCGCCCTGATTTTTTCACGACGGGAGCATGTCTGGGGAATTGATTGCCACCCTAGAGGCCTCCTGGATGGGTCGGAGTAGATGGGTCGGAGGCTCGGGCCGCATCGCCGATACATCGGCGATGCATTGGTGATGCACTGGTGATGCACCGGCGATGCATCGTCGACGTGCGTGGGCGATGCATCGGGGACGTCCGCGAGAAGCAAGTCGGGCTGCACATCGAGCCGCATTGGCGATGCATCGACGATGCGGCGCGATTCTCCGACCCCATCTACTCGGACCCCATCTAGGATTAGGTCGGGCCTGCCCCCCTACAGGCGGATTTCGGGCGAAAAACAACAAATAGCCAAACCATACCCTTAACATGCTCAAACATACACCAAAAACAGTCCCCCGACTATTTTTCTTGTATTTTTGAATACTCCCCGACTTAAAAATCCAGGAGCTATTTTTCAGTATCTGTAGAGGGACAGGCCCGACTTAAACCCATCGGCTACACGCAAGAGTGACCCTGGGTAAGAGTGACATTTGGCCTTTGGTGCGCGGCCTTGTGGGGGCCGCGGGGGGGCCTGACACAAGCGCGCAAGACGCTACTACCGCATCGCGCTCGGCGATCGGGGGACCCCATTGGACCCGCACCAAAGGTCACTCCGACGAAAGGTCACTCCTACGTCTAGCCGAACCCGGGAGGCCTAGACGCCCGCCGCTGTCCGCCCGAATCGCGGCCCCTGGCGCCACCGGCCCGGGCCGCGTGCCGGAAGAAGCCGCCCGCCGCGGCGGGCGCGCGGGGTGGCGCGGGGGACGGAGAGGGGCCGCCTCGGGGAGGCGAGGCCTCCTCCTCCTCCTCCTCCTCCTCCTCCTCCTCCTCCTCCTCTCCTCCTCCCCTCCCTCCCCCCCCCTCCCTCCCTCCCTCCCTCCCCCTCCCCTCCCCCCCCCCTCCCCCTCCCCCACGTCCTCCTCCTCCTCCTCCTCCTCCTCCTCCTCCCTCCTCCCCTCCTCCTCCTCTCCTCCTTCCTCCTCCTCCTCCTCCTCTCCTCCCTCCTCCTCCCTCTCCTCCCTCCTCCCTCCCTCCCCTCCCCTCGGTCCCTCGGTCCCTCGGTCCCTCGGTCCCTCCCTCCTCGGTCCCTCCCTCCCTCCCTCCTCCCTCCCTCCTCTCCGGGGAGGCGAGGCCCAGGGCGAGCCCCCGCGGGGTCCTGCTGGAGGACTTGCGCTCCTCCTCCTCCTCTTTCTCCTTCTGCAGGCCGGGCGGGAGCGGGTTGCCCTGCAGCGGGAGAGGGGGGGGCGGAGCAAGGAGGAGGAGGACAATCAACGATGTTGCACTAAGCCCTTCCTCCAAGCTCCCTCGACACAGGTCCCAATAAGAACTCATCTTCGTTGCGAGAAGTGCCCCATTAGAAGGCAAACGGCTGAGAAGTTCAATGCCGCGAATCAGAATGACTGCTGCGTCCTGACAACCCTAGATCGTGCCGGAACAACCTTCCTGGGACTCCAGCATGGCGAATCAACGTGACTGCTGCGACCTGATAACCCTAAATCGCTCCAGAACGCCTTTCCTAGGACTTCAACCATAGGAATCCTTGACGCAGTTGCAAAATTGTCATACGAATGTGCGGCTTGCTGAGGTGAGAGCCACATTTTGAAAATGAGCCGCCTCTTATTCTAAAACATGCAACAAACTTTTCGGACGAACGTGCGCGACGCTACAGCGAGAGCAAAATACTATACACATATACACTAGAACCATCGCGCGCGCTTCGCGCGCGCTCAAGTTCTAGCTAGGCTTGATGGGCTGTCTCATGGACTATAAGTTGTGTCGTTTCTTCCATCCAGGGGCTTTTTTTGGAGGCCCTGTGCCAGCCTCTGGAATCTATCTTTTCTCAAGCTCTTCGGTCTTTCAGCGTTGGAAGCGGGAAAACGTGAGAAGGCGAAAAACATAGAAAAACAAACAGCGGAAATCAACGATTTCACCCTTCTCGGGCTCTCTCGGGACGGCTCCCGAAGCTCTCTTGGGCTGTTTTGGGGGCCTCGTCGGAGCTTTTTTGGAGGCCTCTCAGGGGTCTGGGGTGTGTTGGAAGCCTCTGGGAGGTCCCGCAGTCCTCTCGGAGGTCTCTCTGGAGGCCTCCTGCTCCCGCTCTTGGGCTCATCTTGGGCTCCCGCTCTTGCTCCTGCTCCCGCTCTTGGGCTCATCTTGGGTGGGTGGTCCGGAGCTGTCCTGGGCGCCTCTTCGGCAGTCTTGGGTCCTTCTTGGCCAGTTTTGGAGCCGTCTTTGGGAGCTTCTTGGGCGATCTTAGGGCGATCTCGGTGGCCTCTTCGGCCGTGTTGGAGAGTTGAAGCATGAAATGGTGAGAGGGCCCAAAAAACCCGAACAAAAACATCAAAAATAACGATTAATTATAGGTTCTCCGGGCGCTCTCGGGACGCCTGTCGCTCTCTTGAGGTCTTTTGGAGGCCTCCTGGGCATGGAGAACCACCCGAAAGCTATCTTCAGTTGCTTGGGAGCGTCTTGGGCTGTTCTTTTACGTTCTGGGGGCTTCTTGGGGTCGTCTTGGGCTGCCCTTTCGGCGTTGTGGGGGCTCCCCGGGAGGTCGGGAAGCGCGGTACCAGGAGCGTTCCGCAGATGTTCCGCAAGGTGTGGGACCCCCAGGAGGGGGGAGGGTATTTGTTGAACTTGGAAAAAAAAATGAATCTCTGGAATCTATCTTTTCTCAAGCTCTTCGGTCTTCGAGCATTGGAAGCAAGAACACGTGAGAAGGCGAAAAACATAGAAACAGAAACAACGGAAATCAACAATGTCACCCTTCTCGGGCTCTCTCGGGACGGCTCCCCAAGCTCTGTTGGGCTGTTTTTAGGGCCTCGTCGGAGCTTTTTTGGGGGCCTCTGTCTGGGGTGTGTTGGAAGCCTCTGGGGGGTCCCGGAGTCCTCTCGGAGGTCTCTCTGGAGGTCTCCTGCTCCCGCTCTTGGGCTCATCTTGGGCTCCCGCTCTTGCTCCTGCTCCCGCTCTTGGGCTCATCTTGGGTGGGTGGTCCGGAGCTGTCCTGGGCGCCTCTTCGGCAGTCTTGGGGCCTATTTGGCCAGTTTTGGAGCCGTCTTTGGGAGCTTCTTGGGCGATCTTAGGGCGATCTTAGGGCGTTCGGCTCTGAAGCTGGAACCCACTATACTATAGACAGTAGCATATGAGACAGCATACTACAGCATAGGTTGGCAATGTTTCGATGTGCAAGGGCGGGGATTCTGATTCGCATGCTCGACCGCTAACTCCATACGACGAGCAAATCAGATATGCCCCCTCCAAACGAAGCGGCCCCGACACGCCAAGAGCATGCCGTCGCAAACTAAGCTCCCTCTGGCCTGCAGGCCGCAGCCCCTCACCCAGACCGAGGGCTCCTCTGAGCCCGCGTGCACCGTGAATACGCTGCGCCGACTGTCGGCTCGAGGAGCAAGAGGAAGCAAAAGGGTGAAACACCAGTGCTGGTAGTACTATTCTCAACCCTCCTGCTCTGGGTCGTCGTTTTGAATAGGGCGCTCTGGTCTCCAGTTTTTCCGCCTCCCTCCTCCTCTTCCTCCCTCTTCCTTAGAGAATACACAACCAGGATACTATACACGCCTGGGCCTCACATGTCCTTGTACGGCGCGTGTGGAACACAGGGAGGGCCCACCCTGCGAAACCTGATGTGCTACCAGATAGCACGAGAGGGCCACCCTCGCTCTCGGCTGCCATTTTACTGGTAGTACCTCGGGCTGGCCAGAGCATCCACAACCAGCAGTATGGCAACCACAGGCCCCCTCGAGCTTCCAAGGGGACCGCATCCAAGCTCTTATGGCGGCCCCACCTGTGACAACCGTGGTCTCGATCAGTGCAGCCACCAAGACCAGGACCCCACTACATTCAGCAAGACTCCCACGAGGCTCTTGGGCATCCGATTTCCACAGCTCTATCAGAGGTCCCACGGCCGTTGTGCCCACCCAAAGGGCACCCATCAGACCCCCTTGGGCAAGCCTCAAGGCGGGGCCTTCGAACCCAGCTATAAAATGACCTACCTGCCACGTATGTGTCAGGGACTTGCAGAGTAGATGTTTTTCAGTCGCTGCATGTTTTGTGAACCAGGTGCTGAGGAAGAGACAGACTGTGACGACAGAGAACGACTCTCCTCAGATCACGAGTTGTTGGCAAGACTATATGCCTTTTATATACGCGACGTGGATCACAATTCCTCAGAGGCGTCATATTGTGAACCCCCCAAAAATAATAACATAAGCAAACGTGCCGGTCCTGATACCGCCACGTTCGTGGACCCCTGCTATGAGTCTCACTATTGAAGGCACCAATCTTTCTTCACCTAGCCCCTTGGGGGCTTCGACGAGAAAGAATATGCTGGACCCTTGGCCTCTTGGGCGGTACCGGGGATTGCCTGGAGATGTCCCGGCGGTGGGGGTCGGGGCCCAGGGGCCGTATATATATATATATACACACATATATATATAGAACCATCGCGCGCGCTTCGCGCGCGCTCAGGTTCTAGCCAAGGCTGGGGGAGCACTGGACGATCTTGGACAACGCTATCAAGCACAGGCGCGCGACGGCATCTGAGGAGCTTCTGGGGTGTTCCGCATGCTTCGTCAACTGGCTGTTTGAGGCACCTCTTGGGTGCCTTTTGGGGGGGCGTCTGAAGGTCCCCTGGGGGCATCGGTTCTGCAATCTGAAGCCGTCATTGGCCGTCTTGGCTGCGTGGAGGCCCGACTTGAGGCCACCTGCGGCCAGATTGAGGCAATCCGGAAGCCTCCCGGGGGCCTCCTGGAAGCAGTTTTGACGCATCGAGGGCACTCTTGGGCTATTTTAAAACCTCTTGGACGTCTCCTCGGGGCCTTTTGGGCCCTCGGGAAGCTTTTGGGGTCCTCGTCGGACCACTTGGGGGCCTCTTGCGGCCTCCTGTGGGCCTTTTGGCGGGAACGCTCTGCTGTTGGGTCGCGTTCCCCTGGGGCTCTTGGGGCCCTCTCGGGCCGTGCCCTCGCGGGCCGTCTTGGGGCCCTCTTGGAGGCCTCTTCCTCTATATTGGAGCGGTATTGGAAGCCTCTTGGGCCGTCTTGGAGCATCGGGATGCCAGAAGGCCGAACAAAATTAAAACCCGTCAAAGCACAATCGTAAAACAATGAGTTGTGCCTCTTGGGGCCACCTTGGGAGATCGCTTGGAACCTCGTCGGCCCTCTTGGGAGCTTCTTGGGGGCCTCTTGGATCCGAGTGGGGGCCTCTTGGGACTTCCCGAGAACCTCTCGGGGTAGAACGCTCGGATTCTCGGTTCGTGTTTCCCTTCTTGGGCCTCTCCTGGGGCCGTTCCTGGGGCCCTCTCGGGCCGTCTTGGGCGCCTCAGGCACCGCCTTGGGGCCCTCGTGGGCCGCCCAGGGCCTTGTTGGAAACCTCTTCGGCTATCTTGGAGCTGTCTTGGAGGCCTCTTCCTCCTCCTCGTCCCCCTCCTCCTCCTCCTCCCACTTCAGCTCTCTCTACTCCTGATCTTCCTCCTCCTCCTCCTCCTCCTCCTCCTCCTCCTCCTCCTCCTCCTCCTGCAGCGTGTTCCGGAAGGCTCCCGCCGGAACATGCTGTGCACAAGTGCTGTCACTACTCCCGCCACTGTGCCCTGGGTGGTGGGTCAGAGGCCTCATGGGTGTTGGTTTGGATCTCGTGGTTGGCCTGTCGGGGACGTCGTGAAGGCAGTTTCGCAGCTTCTCGATCGCCGTTTTGGGACCGTCGTGGGGCCTCCTCGGGGCTGTTTTGTGGCCTCTTTAGGCTTCGTTTGGGCCTCCTGGGTGCCTCTTAGGGGGCCTCCTAAAGCCTCTTGGGGGCTCCTTGGGGCCTCCTGGGGCACTCTTCAAGCGGGAGGGTCGAATTTTGGAGTCTTGGTCCCCCTCTTGGGCGCATCTTGGAGCCGTCTTGGGGCTCTGTTGGGCTGTCTTGGGCGACTCTGGGGCCGCCTTGGGGCCCTCTTGGGCCGTCTTGGGGCGCTCTTGGGGGCCTATTGAGCCGTCTTGGAACGTCGGACAGCCGAAAAGGCTGGAAGGTCAAAACCGTTTGAAAACCTTCGTAAACTTGACGATTTCGGCCTCTCGAAGCGCTCTGGAGAGGCGCCTTGAAGCGTCGTGGAGTGCCTTGGGGTCCTCTCGGGCCGTCTTGGGCCTATCTTGGGCGTCCTGGAGCGGTCTTTCGGCGACTAGGGGCCCGCTTGGGCCGTCTTGGGAGCCTCCGGAGGCCCTCCTGGATTATTATTTTGG